AATTTAAGGAAATCGGTATTTGGTAGAACAACAATTAGGAAATTCAAAACATTGTGCCATATAGGATTTGAAGCGGTAAGCTTCAACATATAACATGGGGTGCTCGTATTATGACTAAATGACAAATGATCATGTATCATCGGTTTTATGTGCCCATATTCTCGTTGACGCGTGTCGTTGAAGGTGGGCACGTACCACTGAAAAAAGTGACAATAGGTTCTTATCATTACAAAAGCCAGTTATTACACTAAAGTATTAGTTTCTTGGCTGGTACTGTGTACAAATGTTGTTGTAAAATTTTTGTATTGTCAATACAATTACGTTGACAAAACAACCTATCTCAGCGTAGCAGTGATGACAATACGAAATAAAAGCCGCTTATAGGATCTCGGACAACAACCTTATAGCTGGGAAAAAATATTAGAAGGATTGATTTGTGGGGTTTAACGTCCCAAAACCACCATATGATTATGAGAGACGCCGTAGTGGACGGCTCCGAAAATTTTTGACCACCTGGGGTTCTTTAACGTGCACCCAAATCTGAGCACACGGGCCTCGACATTTCCGCCTCCATCGGAAAAAAATATTAGAAGGGTGACACCTTCATTAACATCATGAAAATCTCGAAAAAAGTGCCAAGATGTAAAAAACGCGATAGTAAAAGTTCACATCTATAGTGTTTAGGGTGCTTCCTGAAATGCTTTACAAAATTCTCAAAAATAATGAAAATGCGACATTGTCACGTTGCTTCATAACTACTTTTGCTGTGGTACCAGGTGTTTATAAGATGGCCAGAGGAAGAAAGTACAGAGTAATTAAAGAAATGAAATATTGAATTACTGGAGACAGACATGGGTCAAATGGCAGAAACGCTCTCCTGGGAAAAGTTCTCGGCTGCTTTAAGATTTCCAAAAAGCGGACGCGGGTAGTTTTAGAAGGGTGATGAAAAGTCTGACCGATTTCGCCGGAGTAACTAAACGCGTTCTCAATAATAGCAGTGAAGTCTAGCGTTGTTAGAAAGTCTTTTGGAAATATGTAATTGAACGTGCTTTAGTACTGACAAAATAGTCGCGGGAAACCTGTTTCAGACGATAAACGCAAGTATGTGCGTACAAAGACACAAACGATGAAATTATGTATTTGTAGGCGCAATAAGTTAAGTAATAAACTGCGTTAAAGACATAATTGATACTCACAAACCAAAATGGAGAGGCTTTGGCCCGCGGTAACGGAAAGTAATTTGGCTATAATCTGATTTATACTCATATGCCACCTGTACAAGCATCATTGTCATAGCTAAAATAGTCTTGTAAAAAGTGTTCATGATAGTTAAACATTGGATGATTTGTATGCAGCATAGGCTGGGGTTCATTAATCCGACATTAAAGCAGCTGACTTATTCATCAGCTGTCGACGTTCGGACCCATATTTTCAAAACAGTTCATATGCATCGTTCTTCTTAGGAACAGGCATCAAACTTCTTGCAGAAGCCTTCCTATGAGGAAGTGCTAGCCACATAATACATTGAAGAGAGTTTCATAAACTCAGCTTCAGAGTAATTATTGAAAAAAAAATGTCCGTGCTATATATATCGGCTCATAACGACATGCGCTGATTAATTGCGATAACGAGTAGCCAGAGGTAATGTGACCACTGAACGGTGAACGATTTTTGAGAAACGAAAAAATGCGAGCACAGCTTAAGGGCTGTCGTTTCGTAAAGCAGCTTTTACGCTAGAACAATCCTAAATAACAGTAGGTGGCTAATTAAGAAAAGCAATGCAGTATTGACATAAGGGTGCGATCAATGAAAGAAAACTGTGCCAACTGTGCACGCACGCATGCATACGCTCTCCCCATATATATATATATATATATATATATATATATATATATATATATATATATATATATATATATATATATATATATAACAGACAGTAATGCCAAGGAATGTACAGGGGAAGTTAATAGAACCAATGGAATGTAAATAAGGAGAAAGAAGAAAGAAAAGTGGATGAAAAAATTACCAGCTGTGAGCAGGAATCGAACCTACGACCTTCGAATAGAGCATCGAACGCGTTATTCGAAGGTCGTAGGTTCGATTCCTGCTCACAGCTGGTAATTTTTTCATCCACTTTTCTTTCTTCTTTCTTCTTATTTACATTCCATTGGTTCTATTAACTTCCCATGTACATTCCTTGGCAATACTGTCTATCTCATTAATATTGTGTTAAAACACGGAAATACGAGCCCTTAGGTATACACTTCTCTCCCTTATTTTATATATATATATATATATATATATATATATATATATATATATATATATATATATATATATATATATATATATATATATATATATATATATATATATATATATATATATATATACACGCACGTGTGCAAACACATGTCCACGTGCTCGCGCCGCGACTAACTAGACAACGACTGCCTGGCTAGCAATCAACTTATACATGCTTGTTCAAGTACACAAAATATTTAGAAATGTTTCAATGTGAAAACTGTTGAATTGATTTGAGGGAAGCTTGCGTCGTGTAGCAGTAAAGTTAATAAAATTTTGGCTATTGTAGCAAGCAGAATATTATTTTACGCTTTCAAGAATATTATTTTTAAGCTTTCAAGAAAATTGACAGTAATTGGTACGGTTGTAAAAGGTTTAAGCACCAAGTTTACGAATGAGTAACCATGTCCCTAAAACGAATCCTTAAAACTGCTTTCGTTAAAGCATCTAAACAGAAAAGTTTTGAGTTGTGGATTCAATGTTCAAGCGAAGCTGTAACAGTGTTTACAACGTTAGAGTATTTACCATGTTACATGTTACAACGCTCCAGCATTTACGATGTTCTACTCACGTACTTTAGCACGGTGCTCCGTACATAAAGTCTTTCATTTTTAGAGAAATAAAAAAAAATGTTATGCGACTTTTCATTTATGAGCTACAGAGTAGATGACCTGATAGCTTTATTTTTTTCTTTAGATTTTGCTACATTTATTCTTTTGGTAAAACCATCGATGGCTTGAGCAAAAATTTGAATGCACATTCAAAAAACGTTTTTTTTTTCGCTAAAGGAGTTATTAAGTGAATAATGCAGCAAATCCTGACGCTGGACCCAACATCAGTGGAAGGAGCCAGCTAACGGAGAAGTTACTGGACGATAGAGAAAGTTTATGCATTCAGCCCCTGTTTGACGCAATCACAACAGGAACATATAAGACACAGTGCTGTGTCCTGTCACCGTTTCGTATTTTGCACTTTTTGCCATAATGTATCACTTGCTTTTTGTAAAAAAACCACGTCAAGTTCGGTGCAGTAATAGCAAGTATTCTAAGAAAAAATGAATATTTCTAAGTAAAATACGTGTTAGCAAATATTTTATTACGTTTTTTACTCAAATACGAGAGAACGACAAATGTTCCTGACGAGTGAAAGTATTAATGTATTCTGCAGCTTTCGCTTATTCATGAAGTAGCTCTAGCACTAAATTACTTCGCAAGAACAAGTGGGATAATAAGGGTTAACAGTGGAAGTGCCTCAGACTGGCTGGCCGGCGTTTCGATAGGAGGACCTATCTTTTTCAAAGGCGCCATGTCATCCTTGGCGTGTTAGTTTTAAAGGGGTTAGTGGTGACGTCAACTCCTGGTGGTGGTACGTGTGCCACCACCAGGAGTTACGAACTCCTTTAAATATATGCGCACTTCTTGCAATGGTCAACTAAATGGCTACCATGTCTATTCTTTAGGTTTTTGCCCTGTTGTCGAGCGTGATCATCAAAACACTGTCCTGTTGGACCAACATAGACTTTCCCACAGCTAATCGAAAATTAATAAACAACATTGCACGTCTAATCAGTGTAATAGGTTTTGTAATTAGTGGTGCACGCAGGGAGCCTTTTTTTTAGTTTCCCGAGTGTACATACAAAAGACAGCTTACTTGCAGCTTCGTCGTCTTTGTTCCTTTCCCGCTGTTAATTTCTTTGGTCTAAATATGTACGAACTAGCCCACATCAAGTTGTTACTATTTAAGAGCTAAAATAAATTCAAGGAAGCAGTACCAAGACCGATCATACTTCAATTTTCCAATTAGTTCCCAATTCACGCAAGTCTTGTCATTTATGTGTTGGCCTTGTAGTTGCAATGGATGGAAATGTAACGTCACGTATGAAGTGGAGATCTAGCGCAGTGTATACGCATTCACCACCAGACAACACCAACATGGCGATAAGTATATAATGTGAACATTGTAAATGATTTATGCACACTGAGCACATCGAAAGTTCTCTTTATTAGGACGGAACATATTTATGGACTACAGAAGGTGAGTACTACCATAATAGAGCATAATATAGCGGTATAAAGTACGTCGGCTTCCTCATGTTCGCACAACTGTACTTGGTGAGATTGCTGTGAGAGTTGCATTTTTATAGTTGTTTTTGATAACAAGTATACACACGAGTTTTCAACAAATAAGCCAGATGGCACTTCTTCCACAAAATATAAAATATTACAAGGGAATGTTGGCGAGACACAATACGCTGCCACTATCGACGAAGACAATTTTTTTAATAACTTTGCACTTTTGTTGATACAAAAGCCATAATAAAACAGTAACTTCAAAGGAAGCGATTTGTCCTAGGGATAAAGTAGAACAGGCAACTCTTCTGCCCAAAATCGAACATGCAAATCGACCAAATAAATAATGCCCTCTATAATGATTACAACGAGTACAAGAAGATGATCTTCAAGCAGAACTGTTACCTTTGATTGTTTCACAAAGAAGCATATGCATTATATTATAGACGACGCAGTAGACGACGCGTTACAGAAATCGACCACTACGTATTCTACTGCAGCCACGTATGAAATACGGCTGTGAATTGTAGCATGCATCTCGCTTTCACTCTCCGATTGCAAATTACAGGAGGCAAGCGGCGAAGAAAAGGCGACAAACAAAAAAAGGAACACAGGCTCACCAACCTTTACAGCAAAACCCCACGCGACGTCGCGCTGTTAACGCGGCTCTGCTTGTCCCCACCTCGTCACGTCATAGGTGCGGAAGTGTGCCGTGCACCGCGCCGGCCATCACCTCATAAGGGTGGCCGACACGATAGGCACACTCCCGAACAGATAGGAGGTTTGGAGCCAGAAAGAGGCGGGGGACTCACCCACGAGATCTCATGCGCAGCACTGCCACGAACAGACATGGACGGCGGCGCAGCTGTGCGCTCGCCGATGAACATCCACGCTGTTTTGAAGAGCAAAAGAAAGGCTCTAGTTTTATAGACACCAGCTGCTGCTCTTCCCGGCTGCTGCAACGCTCGTCGCAAGCCGCTGCAGTGCGCGACGCTGCGGGCGCACGCTAGCGGTCGGCGCAAGCCAGGGATGTAGTGCCGGTCGACGAGGGCGAACCGAGAAGCTCGGGGGCCGACAATCGGCCGCGCGTCATCCGGCCGTTGTCCTCACGTGGAGATCGGCTGTCGGGCGACGCAACGCCGCCTGCCCGGAGATCTTCGGCCAGCACCGCGTCGTACGAAGGTAGCTCGTCCGGATCCACCGATACACAGGCAGGATGCGCGGGTGAGGCTCCGTCGAAGGAAACATCTGGCAGAAGGCTCGGCCCGCAGGCAGCAGCGTCGCGTTCCGGCGTCCACGACTCGCCCGCCGACGAGTTCAAATTGTTAGCCGCTGAGTCGTGCGGTAGGGCGGTTGGCAGTTTCAATGGGTAGACAAAGCGGCCCTGCAGACGGTCCCGCTCGGAGCAGTCACTCTGCGGCAGCTGCGTGCTCAATTGGTGCCCGATGCGAGGGTCGTTGACAGCGCTCATTTCGAAGAGGGTCGGCTCAGTGAAAGGGCTCCACGGAGAAGGGAGGCTCCAGTGTCGTCTTGTAGACGTTGGAGGCGGACCAAGGAACAGCGCCGCGTCGCCGTCTTCGTCTTCACGTTGTGCCATTACCATTTCGTAGTCGGGTGGGCTGCATTGCCTAGAAGCTCCTACTTGAGTAAGGCACGAGTCTACAAAGACCGCTCCCGTCATGATGACCCCCACGCCGAAGATGACCAGTACCAGTCCGAGGAACTGGCTGTACGTCGAAAACACGGCGAACCCTGCGCACGCAAAGGCCAAGCCAGCCAGGAAAATGAAGCCGTACGCCTTTTCATGCGAGGTGCTGCGCAGGCTCTTCATTTCCGCGGTTGCCTCCACAGTTGAGCCGCAAGCGGCACCATGCGGCTGCCCAAAATTTTCCCGTGGTGTCCCTGCAAAAACAAGAGTCAGTCACTCTTTCGCAATCAGCATTTTCTTGTCAGCGGGTGCGTGACTAAAACGGTAGATAACGAACGCACTTGAAGAGCGCTCTTCTCCACGCCCGGCAAAACACATGTAAGCGCTTCATAACGGTATTCAGAGATACGTTCGCTTTTACCCGCTTGCGCTGAAAATAAAGCCCAGTCTATCCCTTCCACCTTCTAAACCAGCCGGCTATATCGGCCCAAAGAAGAGCGCAAGCCGCATGCAGTGAGCGGCCCGAAGGCAGCCGCACTTAGAGTCTGCATCAGTCAACATGCTCGCACCGTTATCATTACAACATGGGTCGCCGGTTCACCTCGTTTTTCCGACGGTTGTGCAGCACCGAATCGGTGCTGCACAACCGTCGTTGCTGCAACAACCAAACAACAACACAACCAAACAACGAACCAACAACCAAGCTTGTTTGGTGGATGTGATCAAGCGGAAAGATCCATGGTCTGGCGAGCCTCCACTGCCCCGACTTGACGTTTCTAATGAGTTGTTTGTAATGAGGCCTTGCGTCGTCTCAAAGTTCACTGGGAGCATAACGGCATGCCGAACTTGTACTTTCTTAGGGATACCAAATTAACTCTACGCAGAACTGTCCGCACTGGCTCTAAGGAATGACGTAACTCACAGCAAATCCTGCTTACGCAAATCAAACAAAATATCTCAAAGATATGCTGCTAGCCAGAACTTTTGCAATGACCTTTATTGAATAATCGGCAGTAAGCGAGGCAGATCTTCACGTCATTAGCTTTTCTGCGTACAATCGGAGCACCCCGCTTCGGATATAGCGCTCAGCAAAATTGCGCTCAGCAGAATTATAGCACGCAGCAGAATTGCGCTCAGCAATTATAGCGCTCAGCAGGTTATAGCGCTCAGAAGAATTTCAACTAGTAGCCTCGCCGCGGTGGTCTAGTGACTAAGTTACTCAGCTGCTGACTCGCAGGTCGCGAGAACGAATCCAGGCTGCATTTTCTATGGAGGCGAAAATGCTGTAGGCCCCAGATTCGGGGGCACGTTAAAGAACCCCAGGTGGTCAGAATTTCCGGAGCCCATCACTCAAAATCATATGGTGGTTTTAGAGACACTGAACCCCACACATCACTCAATTAATTGCAACTAGTGAACTGAAAAAAAGCCATACAAACCTAATACCTTAATATGCAGCTTAAACTAAGTATGGCTAATGGCAGAGATTGTGCTCACACGAGTTGGGAACACTCACTTTTCAGACGCCAACCATCATCGCGTTATACGCAGGTAGCGGTGGTCCGGGCCCTTCGACAACACAGCAAGCACATTCCCATCGATGCTCCCGGCATGAAAATGGTCTGTATGGCAACAACTGACAGACAGATTCATGTTGACCGCACTCGTACCACCTGACGTAATGGTGTTCACATTCACCTCGGCGTACACTTTCGCTCGGTTGCACGAACGCCATGCCCAGGTTTGAGCTGGTTCATGCTTTACTGTCGAGGTCTCACTGCACGATCGCTGTCTAGGCTTCCGGCAACACGGTGGCATGATAAGTGCGTTCGATTGCACTGCACGCCGCTCCAAGGTGGCTGCAGCACGCGCTCAGCGAGCTTCCTGCAGGCCGAACGGTGTTTACGCAGCCGCGCCTGCATCACGGTCTCCTGGTGAAACCCCCGACACGCTGTCAGGGTCACTGAGCGGCAGACTGCGGTGCATTGTTAGGTAACCATCGGCGTTGCTCCTGCAACACGAGGTCGCCAATGACGTGGCACAAAGTATCGCGGCGTCCGCTTGCATGCAGCGTCGACGCGTGATGCACTCTCCACCGATTGCTCGGCATCCCCAGAGAGGGCAAGGGTATACCAAAAGCGCACGACACGTCCTGTACGCACGTGTATGAGCAACACTGCATCAAGGGCAGGAACCACCGCAGTTATGACGCTGCTTGCTTGCAAAAAATAATCTATTTAGAGCTGAAACTGGTATCATCGCTGCGTCAGTGCCCTAACCAAAGCTGCGTCATTTCTAATTTGAGCCACGCACCACTTCCCTTTTATTTACACCGAATCAACCATCATCACAATGAAAACAACAGGCACTAGAAACCAGCACAAGCTTCCTCAACGTCACGATCACTATTTTGCACGGACGCCAAACTACTAAACGTTTTCCAAAACAAACTGATAATCATCTTCGGTAAGTTCTGTTGTAGCGCACGTAAAAGACAGGAAGAAATGAATGCACATATAGACAGAATGAGCGCCGTTCGTCTATATGTGCCTTAATTTTTTCCCGTTTTTTGGGTGCGCTACAAGAAAACTTCCTGAATATGAGCTACCAACAAGCCCGAATCTCATCTCTTGTAAACTGAATCGATAGTCATCAATTCCTTATTTTTAAAGCAGTTACGTGCGTCATTGGAAGAGACACCATGCAGCCAGGCACAGCGATTTCGGCTACCCAGAAGACCATTTCAATTCTTCGTTCCAGGAACCCAAATGATATATCCGGGAAAAAAATAACGGCGCCAAACCACGAGCCCCAAGGCGACTGGATGGACAGTTTAAACCGCAGCAACAGGTCTAGTGGGGGTCAGTCTGCTACCTTGGTACTAGGGCATTCATCTGTCATCTTCAAGGTTAGACGCATACTGATCGATATGTGGGGTTTAATGCCCCAAAACCACCCTATGATTATGAGAGAAGCAGACACATATTTCGTAAATATTACTACAATCTTACCCAAAGTGACATACTAAGAACAGCTTTTCCCACTGACCTCGTGTCGAGCAGAAACACTCAAAAGACGTTGGCGACATACTTACGTCTTCTGAAACTATCAATTCTGACTAAACGGGTTGCACCCGTTGTAACGAACCACGTTGAAGCTTGCCTTCATATAACACCTACACTGATTGCCGCAAGCACATCGAACGAATCCACATTCATACTTAAACGTAGTTTCAATTGCGGTTCGTCTAATGTGTACCTGCTTCAGCGTGGCGAGGGCCACTGTGAATCACCTTTCAGAATATGTTTTAACAACCGCGGATTGCATGCCGCATCCCAACCAAATCTTTTGCTATCTAAACATGTAAATATGCCGCGTCACTCATTTAACAGCCTCAAAGTAAACATACTGGATTCTAGATATATGCATCAGCCAGGACCATGACATTATCTGACACTGTCTCTTCTGGAATGAAAAAATAAGATGAAAAATGAAACCTGTTTAGCGTTAGGCTACGCAAAAATGCGCACTTAATGTACAAGGCATTGTCGGTATCGAGCTGCTTACTTATGGCTCTCAGCGCAGAGATTACAGTTTTCATGCTCTGCCAGTGCAGTGATGCATGAGAACGTGTTTTATCTACACATACTCATGGTATTCCGCAGCATTTATCGGAAGAATCCTGTGCTGTACTTTGTATTTCTCGGATGGATGGATGCGAAACTTTATTTGAAATCCTGAGGTGCACGCAGCGGGCTGCTCCAACGTTGGTACAGTCAGGCCAAGTCCAACCGCAGCATCGTGGGTCCTCTGGACAGCCCACAGTTAATCCCCGAGATTAGGGCTCTTCATCTCTTGTTTTTTTTTTAATTCTGTCATGTACTTGAAATCCGTGATATTGACCGGAAATCATGACACATGTTGCAGCTGTAATCAGCGCCGATGGCTGAATCCTGTTCTTGAACGGTGCTTTTAAAGTCACGTATGAACGTAGCGTCTATTAGCGCAGTACATATAAAGAAAAGGACACGACACAGACGTAGAGATAGGTAGGCGCTAAATACGTCAGCGCCTACCTATCTCTACGTCTGTGTCGTGTCCCTTCCTTTTTATGTACTGTGCCAATACACGGTATACATTCATAGATGACCAACTCGCCCTTCTGCGCCCTTCAACCCTTCTGAACTTCATGTATGAATTATTCTGCTACTCTGACAAAGGCTGGCCCATTACATGAAACGGTGTAATAAATTCGCCTTTGCAGCGAGTTTTATCGTCCCTTCCTTGCATCAGTTATATTTCGGGTGCAATATGTGTGGTTTATTAGCTATTCGACAGGTCCAATTAGTACAGTGTGTACTACACATGCACTACCAAAAGAGATCTTTCGAAGTAAGCGTTGTCTAGAACTTCACATAAATAAGGGCTGCGGGTACACTGAGCTGAGGTCATGTGACCTTTTCCCGTAAAAGCTTGGCTATCCAAGCTCCACAGACAAACCCATCCTCCCACTCCAAAGCACTTGCCTGGAGAATCTTGGCATGATGTCTCTTGCAACTCAACCGGGCTAAGGCAAGAGGACTGCACCGGCACATAATCTGCGAAACAACGGGCATCTGTTTGTAAGGGTTTATTCGAGTGATTGCAGGTACACACATATAATGACCAACAGCGTGGCAGTTGTTTTTTTTTAAAGCTGGTACTTCGAGGCTCTGTATATCAATATTCCTCAATATGATCGTGTATATATAAAGACGGCGATATGACCATTTCGAAAATACAACGTGCCGAGTGTTGCATTAGTTCTAGTTCTCACCAACACTTTCCTAGCTAGCCACAGCAGACTACTATGTACCTCTGAGCGTAAATAACCGCAGAGCCAAGAAAATCTTCTGCGTCTTCAGGTAGGTTGAAGATTTTTGTTGAAGGACCAATATTTTGAAGGTTTTTGAAGAAAATTACTTCTGTTTACAATTCACGCTCTGAGTGTCGAAAAGTTATACTCCGGTATGATTACGCGCAATGTTGCACACGTGCGTTGTTGCAGAACCAAGGCCAGATTTTTTTTTTTTTTTGACAGTGAAGCTTCATATGCTGAGGCAAAACGGATGTACTTACGTAGACAGGTTGTTGTTTCGTGCACAGTTATGTGTGTCACAGATATTGGAACAGCCTCACTGCTCACCAATGGTTCACTAAAACGTTGCGAAGTGGCGTATGCGTAAAAAAA